TATATTATAAAGAAGTAAAAAGATTAACGAGCACACTTTGGTGTCGTCGTTCAATTTGATACGTCGAATTAACACGAAACACACGAACCGAACCTTATGTAGGTATCGGTTATTAATGATCAAACAAGATTTGCAATGTAAACGTCAGCTATGCGAAATATTTCAAGCTCGTCAATTACACCCTGTTCTACTTCACCCCCTCCCCACTCCCCTTCCCCCCTATATATGTGTGTGCTTAAGAATGAATTGTTTTTATTTTTACCTTTACCTTTGATCCACCAATTTTCCTTCTTCTCTTCCTTCATCCTCATCTTCGTTGTATTTATTTCTCTCTTATTTTTGTCTGAAATTAAAAAAGAAGATAACAAGATAAGATAATTTATATATATACAAATTTATTTCTAATGAAATACCTAACGTTTGTGTTTGACAAATAATTAACATTAACTATGGTATACTGTTGTGTCACATTATTTGTCCGCAATGGACTTTTAAATTATTGAACCGATTTTAATCAAATTTTCTACACTGTGTGCAATTTCATTCAACTTGAAAGATAGGATGAGTTTATAATCTCAATTTATAATCGTAATATTATTTTATTGTTTGTATTTATGTATCGGACCTGATTGTGAGCAACAGCAGCAACACTCGTGGCAAGGCACCCCTAGTACATATATATATTATACTATATTATTACAGTAAAATAAGTATACTATATTAGACTATACTATATACAGGGTGATCTGTAACTGATGGTACAAGCGAAAATCAGAAGGGGATGATTCTACATGGACAAAACTATTATTTTTTTATGTAGAATCAACTCCTTCTTGTTTGTACCACCAATTACAAATCATCCTGTATATACTGTATATACTATATATGTACTATTTAATTGATTTTGTTTTATAATACAATGTTGAACGTGAAATGTAACCCATTCGAGACCAACTTGTACACCATGTGTGCAATCACATTAAATTATTATTTATTACAATATTTTGAGTAAAGTATTCGCTTGTTTCACCAGTTACAGATCACCCTGTATATACTGTATATACTATATACGTACTATTATATACTATTTAATTGATTTTGTTTTATAATACAATGTTGAACGTGAAATGTAACCAATTCGAGACCAACTTGTACACCATGTGTGGAATTATACTAAACTATTATTAATTACAATATTTTGAATAAAGTATTCGTCAAAATAACATTTGTTCTTGTATAAATAATATCTTTACAGTATAATAAACCAAAATTTGCCATTGTAAAATTGGTAATATAATAAAAAAAAATATATATATATAAATGACTCCTGAGAACTGTGTTTGCAAAATTCGTGGTTTCAAAATTACCAAAAAATAAACAATAAGTAAAAGATAGAAATAAAAAAAGAAAGAAGATATTTGAAAGAAAGTTGAAGTTCACTCTCTTTTTTTTTCTCTCTCTCTCTCTCACACACACACTTTCTTTTTCTCTTTACGAGGGTAGATATTAGCGAAGCCGTCACTCACGAAAAGAGGTTGTTGGTTGTTGCTGCTTCTGCTGATGCTGATGCTGATGGTGGTGGTGGTGATGGTGGTGGTAGATGTTACTTTTTATTTCTTTTTTTTTCATTTTTCTTTCAGTAAACGTACGCCCCCTCCTCTACCCCCATCGAAAAGCAACGAGTATGGTAAATATGTGAGTATATGGTGTATACATACTTACGTTAAAAGATACTTAAGCATAGTCGGTACGTTACCCAGCTTCGGTGGAATTTCGTTTAATTTTGCCAGCCACTGACGATAATAATGGACCATACGAGAAAGAGAAAGAGAAAGAGAATGAAAGAATGAAAAGAAAAAACATAAAGATAGAAAGAGAGAGAGAGAGAGAGAAGAGAGAGTGAATATACCTTGAACATGATTAATTCGGTTTTAAAGAGAGCATTAATTTCAACGTTTTCAGACTTAATGACTTGGAAAAGGCATTTAATTACTAACATCGTTTACTTCGTATAATTAACGTATACGTCGATAATAGTTCATTATTTTGCGATAAGTTTATTATAATATTTATAAGTATATATGTATGATAAATTAATGTGATATCAAATAATAATAATAATAATAATAATAATATATATAATGTTTGTTTATCATTACCCAATGAAACGATGTGCAGAAAATTTGTTGTATTTTATATCTAACAATAAATCAAATTAATAACAATAATTTTATTTAATATCTAAATAAAATAAGATTGATTTATGTAACTTTTATAACGTTTGATATTACCACATTGATAAATAATAAAATTACAAAGTTACCCAACCTAAATAAATAACATATATATATATATAGGTATTGAAATCTAAATAAATTTCTAAAATAATTGTATCTAATATTTAAATAAAATAAGATTGGTTTGTATAACTTTGACAACGTTTGATATTACCACATTGATAAATAATAAAATTACAAAGTTAACCAACCTAAATAATTAACATAGTTAAATATAGGTATTGAAATCTAAATAAATTTATAACATTAATTTTACCTTTAAATTCTAAATAAAATAAAATACATTTTGATACTTTTATAATCCTTCAATGTTACCACACTGTTAACCTAATAAAATTACAAAGTTAATCAACGCTAAATAAATAATACACACACACACAAACACACAATTATTTAAATCTATCTAAAATATTTAAAAATAAAAAAATAAAAATTACATAACAGATGATCTATGAGATAAAACAAATAAACAAATAAAACGTACTGAAGAGACAAAAAAAGTATATATATATATAAAAAACATAAGTAAAAGGGGGAAAGAAGAAAGAGGGCCTGAGAGGGTTGAGAGAAGGGGGGCAGAGAAGGGGGGTAAAGAGAGGGAGTGAAAAGGGGGAAAAGTGAGAGAAGTGGGCAAAAGTAATACCGTTGAAGTTCCTAGATCGTTAATCTTTTGCAGTCGGGTCGTTCGATGGATAACCGATGTGTTGTTGCTTGCTTGCTTGTACTTTTACACACAAGTACACACTAAACTCACTTATGGTTATGTTGGTAGGAAGGTAGGTAGATGATATGTACCTGCTGGCTGAACCACACCTATCCCTTCACGAGAAAGACGGTGGTTACGACCCTTCCTTCCTCTTTTACGAGCTACGTTCCTCTTCCCCACCCTCAACCAACCAACCAACCAACCAACCAACCAACCACCTTTTAAACAACTTCAAATTTATTTCAAATATTTTCATTCCTTCGTTTTTGTTTTTTATTTATTCATTTATTTATTTATTGTTTCCATATAAAGGTATTTTTGATGGTACACGTAAATTGATTTTTGTTGTTTTTTTTTTTCTTTAATTAAAATTTTTTAATTAATTTTCATATGTGTGTTGGTTGTATTGATGATCGTAATTATTTTCTAAACATTTATATATTGTATATATATTGAAATTATTTAAAGAGAGTTGGTTTTTTTTTTAATTAACAGTCGATAAGGTAAAATGCTGTATGTACGTCTGTAGTTTAATTAATAATAATAATACAATTTATTGATATCTACTATCGATTAATGGAAAAACTGTAAATAATTAATAAATGATAAACTTTGTATCGATAAATAATTAAACTGAAATGTAATGAACATATGAAAATTAATATTATTGATAAAGTAATATGTTATTTTAACTATTAGTTAATTTAATATAATATAATAAGTATCTATCAGTATCTTTTTAATTATTACCTAATATAATTATATTATAAATAAATCAATTTAAATTATTATACTATTAGGTAACTATTTAGTATCTAAAAGAATTATCATTAATTTTAAGAATAATTCAATAATTATAATTTAAAAAAAATTATACAACAGAAATCTAACAACAATTGAACAAATAATATGATATGCAAAAAAACTATTGTTAATACATTAATATATTATTTAAATATAACTAATAGTACCTAAAACAATTATAATTAATTTTAAGAATAATTCAATAATTATAATTTAAAAAAAATTATACAACAGAAATCTAACAACAATTTAACAAATAATATGATATGCAATAAACTATTGTTAATACACAAATATATATTATTTAAATATAACTAATTGTACCTAAAACAAATCAAAATATAATGTCACAAATAATTCTATCATATTTAACAAACTTCGAATATTAATTTAAAATTAAAAAAAAAATAATATTATTAAATAAATAATAAATAAATTCTACTGTACCACAAGTCGATAGAGTAGTAAATCCCCATCAATGGGTAAAATATTGTCAACACGATTTAACGTTATGAACAATGAACAAAGATCCCTATAAAAAATATCCAAATTTTGATCAACAACAACAACAACAACAAAAACAATAATTTATAATAAATAATCATGAAAAATATAATAATAAAATATGGAATTTATATCGATCGAATGTTGAATCAACGAATGAGAGAATAAACCTAAGGAGACAACAAGTGTGAGTGACCCTATCTTATTCCCTTTCTCTAATCGAACAAGAAAACTGCGCATGTTCGTACAAAGAAAAGGAAGGGAAGTATAACTGCTGGTAGGATGGTACCATGGACATGGTTCGGGGACAAGGGGGAAGAACCCCAACCAGCAGCAACCCAGTTGAATGAGTTTAGTATGAACCATCGTCGCGTTAGCTTCGATATTTTTCTTTACAAACATTTACCTTTTTTTTTTCTTTATCATTTCATTTATTTTCTCCATCTTTCTCTCTCTCTCTTTATCTCTCTTTTAATTTGTTCATTCTAATTAAATTAAATTAATTACAATTATATCGTTAATATTATCGAAATTTCGATTAATCGATAAAGATTACAAAGAGAAGAAATCTTTTCTTTCTCTGTTTTCAATCATATTTTACAAAATAATTTTCTCTTATTGATCGTATTAAAAGTGTTTTTGTGTTTGTGAGTGTATGTGTGTGTGTGTGTATTTTTTTTTGGTGATTCCCCACATCCCCCACTACAAAAAAAAAACCTATCACAACAACACTTTGTTTCTTGTATAATAAACATCGTCACACATATTTTCATCATGATAATTAAACGAACATAATTTTGTGTTTAAATATCTCTTATCGCAATATTATATATATATACAAGGTGTTGTATCRATAAACTTATACAAGTGACAATATTAAAAAAAAAAATTATAATAATAATAATTTGAAGAGTAGTGGGAGAGAAAGGAAACATGTCTTCGTGTAGTGAACTATCACGTTCTCAAGAATATCAAAGCTTTCGAAGTTCAGTTCCTCTTAGAAAAATTGTCGTTGATTCTGATGGAACTAAGGTAAATTTTTTTGTTTAATTATTTTTACATAATTTCTATTAATTTACAACTATATAAACACAATAAACAAATACTTTAAATTATATAATTATTAAATAATTATTATATCGTAAGTACCATTCCTTTTAGAACAAATTGTCATTGATGTTGATGAAACTAAGGTAAATTTTTGTTTCATTATTTTTAACATAATTTCCATCAATTTATAATTATTTAAATACAATAAACAAATACTTTAAATATTACATAATTATTAAATATTAAATAATATTTCTTTTTTCAAAATTTGATTATTCATTGATTATGTAAAAGATAAACCAAGTATAAATATTCATATTAATCGAAGATTATCTTACATAGATGATTCATACGAATTGAAATCATAATCCTGATGTTAAAACTACTTGTTTTTGTCTCTCTCTCTCTCTCTCTCTCTCTCTTATTTTCACAATCTCTAATTAACATATTATTATTTATTTTTTACAGGGATGGAAAATTTATGATTCAAGCCCAAAGACTGTTAAATGTCCACTCATTTGTCTTCCACCTGTCAGTGGTACTGCTGATGTTTTTTATAAACAAATATTAGGATTAGCAGCTAAAGGTTACAGAGTTATATCGGTAAGTTTGTTTTTTTTTTTTTTAAATAAACAAAATAATGTTAAATTATTTAACAATAATTATTCTGTTTTATCATAAAATTACTATCTTATCGACTGTTGATGACAATTAGTTTAAATAATGCATATATTATTTCAAATATATAATTGATACACTTTCGTTAATCATTTTGTTTTTTTACTTACATAAATAACAATTTTTATTTATATTTTATTTTTGTTTAAATTATTATAGGCAGAACCACCGGTATATTGGAACGTGAAAGAATGGTGCGATGGATTTCGAAAACTTTTGGATTATATGGGACTTGATAGGGTTCATCTATTTGGAGCCTCGTTAGGTCAGAATTCAATGAACGTATGATACAATTATTAATTTAATTTCGTTCTTACTTATTAAATTTAATTAATTATTAAAATCTCAATTAATACAACAACAACAACAACAACAAAATAAATTGTTTGATTTTATTAGGTGGATTTTTAGCACAAAAATTTACCGAAGTCAATGCTTATTGTCCAAGAGTAGCATCGTTAATTTTATGTAACACATTTACAGACACATCTGTATTTAGTTACAACGATTCTGCTGCAGTGTAAGTAAGTTGATACACACTCGATACAATTCAACAAATCAAAAATTTTAAAAAAAAATACAGAACAAATAAATTATTAATCATCATCATCATCAGAAGAAGAAGAAGAAACAATAATAGTGTCTAATTTTGTTCTATTATTTGAAAAATTGTTGTAGTTTTTGGATCTTGCCATCGATGGTATTGAAAAAAATGGTCATGGGAAACTTTACAACTGAGAAGGTTGATGGAGAAATAATCGAAGCTATCGATTTTATGGTTGAAAGAGTAAGGAAAAAAGATAATAATGAGTTACCCTTTTTTTTGTTTTTAAATAAATAATACACACCCTTAATAAAACAAACCAACAACACACTTAAATATATATATAACTGAATAAATTTGTATTATATTCTTGTTTCGGATTGATTACGCTGTTGTTTGGTGTTATGGTGATGATGGTCTGTCTATCTTCAGTTGGAAAGTTTAAATCAATCTGAATTGGCATCGAGATTAACCATGAATTGTGTCAATTGTTATGTACAACCGGACAAAATTTGTAATCTACCAATAACCATAATGGACGTGTTCGATGACTATGCATTATCAAATTCAGTTAGAGAAGAAATGTATAAATGTTATCCTAATGCTAAATTAGCTCATTTAAAAAATGGTGGCAATTTTCCATATTTGAGTAGATCTGCCGAAGTCAATTTACATTTACAGGTAGATACATTTTCAATACATTTCAAATCTTTTATACAATTTGTTCTTCTTCATAATTAATTAATTAATTTATTATTTTCTTTTTTTTTTCTTTGCAGATACATTTGAGACAATTTGAAGGAACGGAATACTCAGCTTCGGTTAAAACGAAAACAACAAATTGTACAAAAATATTAGAATAGTTTCTATATATATATATATAGACAGATAGATAGATAGATACACAATGTATGTGTAATTCTTTTTTTTACCAAATTTGTAATATCAAAATTACAAGCTTTCAATGATTGAAATAAGATATTACACGAGAATGAATCTAAACTAAATTCTAATACTTTTTAAAAAACTAAAATATTTCATTTGATTTGTAGAATTTCTCATACATATACATATACATATAAATATGCATAATTTCATTTGTATATAATAAGTAGTATAATTAACTTATCATTAATCATATCTTGTATGATGCATCAAGATTAATACGTAAATGATATATATATATACACTTTTGTTATAAAAAAAAAAAAAAAAAAATAGAAGAAGAAAAGATAAGAAAAGAAAAAACAAAAACAAAATAATAAAAATAGTAAATCTATTTTCAAATGAAATAAATTCAACTTTTTTTTTTAAATATTTCCATTTTATTATTCTAAAATATTTTCTCATTAAATCATAATTTTATCTTTAAAAATACGATAATTGAAAATATTTAAAAATATATATGTATATATATATACTAGGGGTACCCCGTCACGTGTTGCTGTGGCTCACAATCAGACCAATACATAAATAATTCGCAATAAAATAATATTGCAATTATAAATTGAGATATAAACTATTCTATTCTTTCAAAATGGACGAAACTGCACAGAGTGTGCCAAATTTGATTAAAATCGGTTCAGTAATTTAGGAGTTCGTTGCGAACAAACAACGTGACACATAATTTATATACATATATATATACATGCCTAATTAAATATTATTATAAATAATAAGAAAAAATATATATATATTATATTATTTTTTTAAATTATCGTACAATTCTAATTTCAACTTAAAAATGAAAATGAAAATCAATAATAATATTTGTTAGAAGAGAAAGATAGAAAATCTAGTCTGGCCTATAAAATGTTAACGAACTCAAGTTAAATGAGATGAATAACGAAAGAGACCATAGAAAAAGCAAGTATCGATTGTTTCTTTGTACTCTTCCTTACCAAGACACCGGTTTCATGTTCTCAATCTCGGATTACTGTCTCTCCATACCCCACACATATATACATTAACCACATAAATGTATATATATATATATATATACATATGTATATTGCATTGAAGAAAGCTTAAACCATAAAAAAATTGTCTCCAGTACCAAGAATTATAAATGAAAGTAGAATTCTACAAAAAAAAAAAATTCTTTGTAACATTCTTCAGTGATTATTACAAACAACAAATTTATTTAACATTTTAACATTAGAATTAAATTAATATTTAGAATATTCTTTCATTTATCAAATTTACATTAATTTTTCTAACATCAAATAACAATTTGTCAAAATTGTTATCATTTCAATTTTTTTGTTTTTTTGTTCTTTCCACAAGTACGTGATAAAAATTAAATTAAAAATGTATTATTCACTTTTGTAACAACAAATGTTCTTACTACAGTTCTAACATAAAAATAAGAAAAAGAAAAATGACCAATCATTATTAAATATGACTCAAACAACATAACATTATCCTATTATATAAAAGAATGTTACTATAATTGAACTGAAATGATGTGTACATAATCGAAACAGGAAGTGTCACTTTAAATAAAAATATGAGTTGCACAGCAACATTGTTAATCAACTATATATTTACATGTAAGTACAAAAAGAAGAAAAAAAATATGCAAAATTGATTATTCTTGTCTCTCTTACAAATTATTACAATAATTCTAATTAAAAATCAACTTGATTATTTTATCAATCATCGTATAAATAAAGTATAACATTTATTTTCAACTATTAATATATCATTTAATAATTATATAAATAAAAATTATATTTACAAATTAATATAAATCAATCTAAAACACTACTTCTATCAAATTACTTGTCAATTTGATAAGACTATAAATAAAATACTTTCTATTTATCATAATAATAAAATGAATAATCAAATTCTTCTATGTTTAACAATAATAATAATATTAACATTTCTAGTTTCAAATTTAAACTGACACAAAACAGGCTGTAGGACAAACCAAACGTTTTCATTTTACAATTCTTCTTCTTCTTCTTCTTCTCCATCTCCTACTTCCACTATCACCCTCCTCACTCCTCCACTTCCCTCGGGGTCCTATCTTCGACCCTTCTCTTCTTCATCTTCTTTCTCCTTTCTTTCGAAGCAAACGGCGAACGTACAACGAACGATTCAGTTGCTCGTCGTTTTTCAATCTGATATGTTCTTATTAAAGTCTTCATAAGTTTATAACAATTTTGTGATTATATATATATATATATATATATCTTGTTTTTAAGAAAAAAAAAAAAAAAAGAAAAAAAATTTATTATTATCTTCTACACTGGCAAAGGAAAATTATATATATATATATCTGATTCTTATCTTTTCATTATCTTACGTATGTTTCTATTAATTCTAAAACTACATTTAATTTAGAAAATATATTTTATTTTACGTTTTTGTTTTCTTTTATCTTATTAATTAAATTTATTCAAATATATAATTATAGTAAATATAACATTTATTTATTTACACACACGCGCACAATAATAATTTATAATATAATTTTAAATTTAATTAATTTATTCAATTGTATGTTTACATTCCTTTTTTTTTTTTTTAGAACTCATAGAAATAATTATTTCAAATCAAAGAAATTTATTGAATATATTATTATTTATATTATTTATTTTATTAGTCGAAATAGAAAGTAAAATCAGTTAAAATAATGATTTGAAATTTAAAGATAATATAATTTATAAAATTCAAATTCGCAATAATCTTCTTTCCAATAGTTTCAAGTAATTTCAAATGATGAGAATGTTATTTATTGTTTGTGTTGTTATAACCGATACTAAGATAAAAGAAAACAAAGAATAAACCCTATCATTCTTAAGATACGAGTAAGTACTGTACTGTATAATAGTACTAACATATATATATGTATATATATATATATAATATATATGTGAAATTCAATATTACATTTCCGGTCATTGTATCAATCATGTTTCATAAATGAAAAGCAACAGTAGCTAAGAATGTTACATCGGGTTACATTGTAAATTAGTTTTTTTTTTAACTGCAAGGCAAAAACAAAATCGTTTTAAACAGCAACTTTCTTAAATGGAGAGAATAGCTTCAGGCTGATATTTCAAGTGAAAGGAAAACTTATCATGAAATTCATTAAAACTTTTTTTTAATTAAAACTTGTAGTTTAAACTATAATAATTATTATTAATTATAAATCTTGAAGTTTGTCTTTATAAAAAAAAAAGAAAAAATGTATTATTTAAATTACAAATTAAACTGTGTGTTAAACTTATTTTTAAATAATTACAACTTATAATAATTATTTATAATAATTAAATTTTAAAGTTTATCTAAATATATTAAATGATCTATCTATAGATCAAACAGCTGCACATAAGGGATAATAATAACATTTTAAATGATGTTAATCTCATATGTTATTTCGTGACGTATTCGTTAAGATATTTACATTGACACACATATTCTTTCTTCTATAATTAAATATTTGTTCTAGTACAAATAAAAAGGAGGAACAAGATGATGATCAGAAAGCTAAATTATTTCAATGTTTCTACACATCACAACAACTGATTTATATTACACCAATGAAATATTAAATAACAACAAAATACAAAAATAAAATTAACAAGAAAATTAACAAGATAAAAGTAAAAAAAGAGAAAAGAAAACCAACGGCAAAATGGAGAAAACAATTAAAATGGAAAATGGAGTATTTGTCACAGAAACTAATAGAGTATTTATGTCAACCAAATTGGCATACGCTTTGGGACATATTTTCAATGATTTGGCAGCAGCTATGTGGTTTTCTTATACTTTAATTTACCTTCAAAAAGTTGCTCTAATGGAACCAATAATGGCTGGCACATTATTATTATTAGGTAAATAATAGAATAATATAATAAAAGTTAACTTTTATTCATCTTTTTTATAATAAGAATATAAAATAATTAAAACGTTATACTTTATAGGTCAAATTGTGGATGCTTTTACAACACCAATCTTTGGTTTTCTTGTTGATCGTTATTGCAAGAAAAAGATTTGGCACATTATTGGCTCCATATTAGTAACATTAAGTTTTCCGATGATTTTTGGAGGCTTCGCTAATAGTCCTAGCTCTATTATTACATTCTTCTACATAATGAGTATCGTCATCTTCCAAATTGGCTGGGCAGCAGTACAGATTTCACATTTGTCAATGATACCATCGTTAACAAGTTCATTACTTGGTCGAACAGAGTTAACAGCGATAAGGTAGAAATGATTGATGTTCTAAATGAAATTCACTTACTTATACATAGTTTCCAATTTTAGGTATTCAGCACAGGTAAGCGCAGCAGTTGTAGTTTTCATTGTTACGTGGATAGTCCTTCCAAATAATGGGGAATCCATGGTGTTGCTCGATGAAAAGGATGACTACAAATTCAGAGTTAGTATTAGTAATTATATAATAACATATATTTTTCTTATAGCTATATATCTTAATGCTATCTATCAATTATTATTTCAGAATATTGTCATAGTTATAACCGGTATTGGTTTGACTGCTACTACCTTCTTTCATATCTTTTTGAAAGGAAACTTATTAGAAAATGACAATCAATCACAAAATAAAATGAATATCGAAGAATCTACTTGGCTTTTAGATGGTTTATCAGGACCTAGGAGATCATGGTTTGCAACATCTATTTTACTCAGAGTAGCAATGTTATATGTTGCAAGTAGATTATTTATAACTCTTGCTACAGTTTATTTACCACTTTATATTGAAGAAACTGCAGTTGGCGGTAAACAAGCATTAGCCACTGTACCATTAGTCTCTTACCTATCATCATTTGTAGCTGCATTGTTACTCAAATATATGAACAGATCTTGCGGTACCAAGGTATGATGCACATAACCTTAAAATAATGATCTTATGACAATTACAATGAATATTATATTTTCTTACATACATATGCATTAATATGAATAAATAATTATTTAAATTATTTAGATTTGTTACCTTACTGGAGCTCTCATCGGTATTCTGTCAGCGGCCATTACGGAATTTGGCGGCAGTCACGGAATTATTACATACTCGATAGCAATTTTAATCGGCGCAGGTAGTTCGATTACTATGGTAACGGCACTAAGTGTGACAGCTGAGATCATTGGTCCGAGAACCGAAAGAAGTGCATTGGTTTATTCGATAGTAACATTTCTCGATAAAGTCGTCACCGGATTGGTCGTTGTTCTTATTGAACGATGGTAAGTTTATCTAGTCGCGCGGGAAAATTCAAATTGAATAAATGTTTAAAATCATACATTTTCATTTAAAATTATACATATATATATTTAATTTTACTTGAACTTTTTAATTTAATTTTTGTTTATTTGTTTTGTTTTATAGGAGATGTCATCAACAAGAATTATGTCCAAATTACAATCGTGACACATTAGCAATAGTTTGTGCATCATCGATGCTACTTGGTCTTGTCACTTTAATATCAGTATCACGTTGCTTAACATGAATATGTTCGTTATCATTATTACTATTATTATTAATTATTATTATTTTACTAATTGTTTGTTGTCTTTTTTATGTTTTTGTTTCTTTTCACGAAAAACGAATTTTTATTTAATAATACTCAACTTGTCTGTCGTATATAATTTGATTTTATTAGTAATACGTGTTGTATTGTTAGATTTGTAATTAGATCGTCTTGTTGATTGTTTAGGATCTAAAATAATTAGAACGTGTTATTATCACTTTTTTCTTTTCTTCTTATGAAAATTTTATAATATGATAACATTGTTCAAAGACAACGAATATTTGAAGAAAAAAAGAAACTAATACTAAAAGACTTTTAACGATTTAATTCAAGTATTACTAACTTTAATATCATCATCATCATCATCAACTTTCTTTTTTCTTTTTTAAATGAATAAAGATAATTCATTTTGAAAAGAAAAAAGAAAGGAAAATCTGGACTTATGTCCAACGAATAGATTTTATTAGTAATATTTAATAATATTTTTTTTAACTTTTGTACAAAGCTATATTAACTATGTATGTGTATATGTATATGTGTATATTTATCGTTAAGATAGATTAAAAGATCCTTATTATAATTCGGAATTTCGAAGGTTTATGAACCACATTTGTAATTAAAAAAGAAACAAAGAAAAAAAAAATAACAAGAAAGAAGAGAGAAAGAAAGTGAACGAGAAATAAAAGAGGTACAGAAAACGATAATTTTTATATCTATAATAAAGAAGAATGGAAATTTGAATGATATGAGATAAATAATTTAATTTTATGAAGTAAAAGAACATTCAATGAATAATTAAACAAAAAATGTTAGCAAGGATAATCTTCGAAATTGTTTAATAAAATTATAATTTATTACTAATAAAAGTATTATTTTTATATATTATGAATTTTATCTTTGACTGTGCTACATCATCATTGAATATAGTAATACAAAAAATGTTATATCTAATCTTACATCATTACTAATAATAATAATAAGAAGAAGAAGAAGAAAATTTTCTATTGGATACATAAAGCATGCATTTCCTATATTTTTTGAAATATAAATTTCATCAAAAAAGTATTTACCAAAAGAAATAGTTTATTTAAAAGAGTGTACACAAGATGGCGATAATAGGGAAATTTGAAATTTTCGAAAGAACGGTCAAGAGATGAAACAGTGGCGCTAGAATCGAGTGTGGGAAAGACGGGCGGAAGATGCGCGTAGGATTACAGCGCAGGTTCTTGTTTTGCTCACTAGGATTGGTGGTGAGGGACGCGGTGGAGCGGTTATTGGTCCGGAGTATATCGAAGTTGATGGTATTGGTGGAGAGGGAGAAGAGGGGATTGAGGCACGCTCTCTCACGGGGCATGGCGTGGTGTGCGTTCTAGTAAACAACTTGTGCGCGGCTCGTGCGGATAGATTTCGTTTGGCTCGGTGAATAATTCTCACTTATTTTTTCGTTCTTATTTATATACACATATATATATACATATATAAAACATACATACGTACGTGCATACGTATACGTCTATCGATATAAATGCATATATGTTAATATAACAAAAAAAAAAAGAAGAGAGAGAGACATATAAACATACAGGAGTGGACACTTAAATGAGATAAATAAATATATATATATATATATATGTGTGTGTGATGTGTGTTTAAAAAAGTTATAATAAAATATTTAATTGGTTCATCTGAATAGTGTGAAAAAAAGCCAAGAAAAATAACTCGCCAATTAAACTATATGTGCTAAATAAAAGAAAATCTATTTAAATGTATAATTAAATGGAATAACATTCGACGTGATTACTCTCGATAAAAGTGTACAGGTTAAGTGTGTTTTCAGTGCATATATATATATATAATTAGTGTACGTGTGTATATGTGTATACTGTCGGAGCTACTTCTCCTACGCTATTTCCGCCTAGTTTTTTTGTCTTCCTTCTATCTTTCTCTGTGTATTCTCTCCATCTCTGTTTCTCTCTCTCTCTCTCTCTCACTCACTCTCGTTCTTTCTAGACGATACAAAACGTTCTAACCAACGACCTCGTTTTTCGGTCTTTCTCTCCCTCTTTTCATCTTGCGTGTACATCTATACACGTATATAGTGCGTGCGTGTCTATCTGTGTGAAAGAGAAAGAAAGAGAGAGAGAGAGATAGAATAAAATAAAATAAAGAAAGAGAAGAGGAACAAACAAACAAACAAATAAATTATCAACGGGGAATATTGGACATTGTCTTCAAGAAATTTTCAATTGTGGATGATACATCGCACCAATTCCATCGTCAACGTAGTCAACGTCGTCGTCGTAGTCGTCGTCGTCGTCGTAACACGCCGTCTCGGTAAGTCCCCTCCATCTAACCTATACCCTCTGCTCCCCCTTCTCTCCTCTCTATCCTTTATCCACGCGTGCCTACGACGTATTTTCGGAGCACGACACACCAATGCTACTTTACACACACACATGCACGTTCATTATATTCATATACATTTAAGTATATAACATATATATACATGTAGGTATTAAGGTAGTGAAGAGAAGTATAGTTAAGTCTCCTTACTCTTACCTATTTAATTTATAAAAACATGAACGCGATATTCGATTTTATTATTTTCACGTTATTTTTGATTATTAATTAATTCTTTTCTTTTTCTTTTTTTAGATATATAACATTGATACGTGAAAGATATGAAGGATTTTTATTAGTTGCTGCAAGTATTTTTATTATAGAAGTTGAATACGATCGATTTGATGTATGTGCATGTGTGTATGTATCCTGAGAAAGAAAGCTATATATATATAGAAAGAGAGAGAAAGAGATAGAGATAGAAAGATGGATAGAATTTGGAAAAGGGTGGCTCCTAGGGCGTTTCTGTGAGAACACTCTCGACTTATTTCTTACGAGGGAGAAAGCATCGATCTTGAAGAAAGAAGTAAGAGAGAGAAAGAGAATAGAAGAAGAAGAAGAAGAAGGGGAGAAGGGCGTTTTTCACCCTCAACGAGTTCTTCCTATTTCTCACATTTTTTTATTTTTTTATCTTATGTATCGATATATATATATTAYAATAAGACGTTTAATATCTTGAATTATATATATATATATTTTTTTTTTTAATAGTTTTTCATCTCTCTCTCTCTCTCTCTTAATGTCTTTCGTTCTTTCCCTTACACTCTCTTACTCTTGCTTTCTTGCTGTTACTCTTTCTCTCTTTCTCTCTCTTGGAGACATATCGCCTTTCACACGACGATTCTTCGTTTAGTCACTGACCTCCCGTTCGTTCGGGTAGCTTCGTTCGTCACCGTTCTCCTTCGTGTTGTCGTCGTCGTCGTCGTCGTCGTCGTTCGTAGTTGCATCTTCGTCATCGTGTCGTCCTCGTCTTTTCCTTGTTTACCACTAAGGGATGATGGAAGAGTAAGAAAGATAGAGAATATTAGTGTATGTATGTGATCTATATATGTATATATATGCATTTCAGGACCCAGTAAGCTTAACGAATAAGTCAGAGAGAAAGAGAGAGAGAGGTGGAAAGAAAGTAAGAATGTATGTATGTGTTTAGGGTCCCAATAAGTAAATCTACAAATGAGATAGAAAAGAGAAAGAAAGAGAGAGTAAATGATACACATATATATGTATGTATATGCACGTACGTGTTATGTAGGCCCAAGTAAAATGCATGAAAGGAATAAAACAGGACAAGAAAAAGAAAGAGAGAGTTAATTAGTAATTTTGTCTAATACGTACTTACATATTGCATATTAAAATGCATATATATATATGATACATGAATACGTGTATGCGTGTATGATGTGTGTTAGGGATTCTAATAGAGAAGAAAGAGAGGGATATTTGGAATAGAAAGAATAAAAGGATGAAAGAGATAGAAAATTGTGTATACCCCCATGGCAGCTGTGGCGGTGGTGGTGGTGGTGATGGTGGTGGCTGCTGCTGCTGCTACGACCACCATGCTCGAGGAAAACGCCGGCGTTGTTGCTTCTCTCGCTGGATTCCTTTACGGTCGTCGGCGCTGAGAGCGAAGGGAGAGAGAGAAAGAGAGAGAGAGAGAGAGAGAGAGGGTATCGATCGGACCTACCGGTTGTTGCTTACTACTACTATTACTATACTAAATACTACTACTACTACTACTACTATAACTATACTACTACTATTACTACGCTAGTATAGTTTATGGTGCTTTCTACTGTTACTTTCTTCATGTGCTCTTTTGACGAGAAATACAAAACCTTTAGGGTTCAGGGGTTCAATGTATAAGGGATTCTTTTTACTTTTATGATTGGGATATATTTTTTTTTTTGTATAGATATGTTAGAAAGTATTCGTAGTATTAGTTTTTTTTTATATTGTTAATAATAGAGTACACATATGTTAGAAATAGTTTCACAATTGGTTTTGTTATAAATTGAATGATATAATTGAAATAGAAAAAGAAATTATTAGAATGATTTAAATACATTAGTTTGTATTAACATTTAATGTTAATTAAAGATAATAATAATAATAATAATAATAGAAATAAAAGATAAACACATTGAATTGTTAGATATGCCATGATATTATAGGATGTAGAAAAACGCGGGAATTTCAAACGAGCGGAGTTTTATGAATGACTGACGTCATCGTCGTACACATAAGTGACGTTGCAAAAAGTAAGAATTTCTAACGGACGAGTTTACTCGCTTGATAATATGGATCATGGTGGTGATGATGATGGTGTGTTGTAACCTCCTCCTCCTCCTCCTCCTCCTTCTTCTCCTCGTATTGCAATTATAATAATAATTTGTTTGTTTTTTTTTCTTTCTTTATTTCTTCTTTCCTTCCTCCCTTTCTTTCTTCTCATCTTCCTTTTCTATTAATTTCTTTTTTTTTTTTTTTTAAGTATTTACTTGCGACCCACATCGTGTCGAAGCGAACGAATACGACGTAGACGTACGATCGATATCGGACCGTGTTGCGTAATCGTTATAATCGTTTTGTTTTCGCCAATCTAACATATATATATATATATATATATATATATATATATATATAACCCATCGTCATAATGCGACTCCAATCTATCTATTTGTCTCCATTTTGTATTCATATATATATATATATATATATATATATATATATATATATAACCCATCGTCATAATGCGACTCCAATCTATCTATTTGTCTCCATTTTGTATTTTTTTTTCTATCTCTATAATACTCTATTTTTTGATTATTATTATTATTATTATTATTATTATTATTATTATTATTATTATTATTATTATTATTATTATTATTATTCTCTTCTTGTATATATCATTTCATTCTAATTAAGGGTTTTCGATAAATTTCTATTAGATTTTATTTTTCCCATTGAAATTGTACACACTCGCCATGTTGTTATATACAATAACGTGTATTTATTATTTTAATTTTTTTTTATTTTTATTTTATTTTTTATTTTTAGACGATATAATAATTATTTGAAAATAATGTACTATTATTATTTGATTTGATTTGATTTGATTTTCTATTTAGAAATATTGAACTTATTATGAACTATTATTATATATATTTTAATAATCATTTATCTATTATTTATTGTTATAATGATTATATTAGAAAATAATGATAGAAAACAAAACAAAAAGAGTAATAATAAATAAAAACCTGATTATAGATAAATAAGATTGTTAATAAGAAATTAATGAGAGAAAATCAATCAAGGTTAACAGATAATGTAGTAAGAGTTTAATAAGGTTAATAAGGTTAATCAAGGAAAATTAAAGACTGAGATCATCAATTGAAAATTAATAAGTATGTATTATTGAAACTAATTGACAATGAGAATAAAAAATAATAAATTAGATTATCAGAGAGAGTAGAATATATAATTGAAATTAAAATTATCAATGCATCATTTCATTCGTTTGCAAAGAAACAGAACAAATCAGAGTGGGTGGGTGGGTGGAGAGGGGAGAGGGGGAGAGAAAGAGGTGTAATCTTTCAATACCAAAATATATTTCATATTTCTAACCCAAGTTCTTCTTTAGAACAAAATAATATAAAAACAAATAGGAACATTAATACATTAAAAAAAAAAAAAAATAATAATAAAAAAACAATTGTTGACAATGATAACTACGAAGAAGATGAAGAAGAAGAAGAAGAAGAAGAAGGAAGACGAGTGAGAAAATATGAAGTAAGAAGGGGGGAAGGATTATAGACGAGAGTTTACGTCGTGGCGACCTTGTTTATGTCTCTCGTGGGTTATTGTAATTGGATAGGTCTACCCTCTTTGTCGAGTGAGTTTAGAAGCAGAGTACATAACGTGTCTCTTTTTCTGTCTTCCGTTGTTATACGATTAACGTTTACCGGTGGTAAGTCCGACAAACGTCCGACCAGATTGTACACTCGTTAAAAGGATCACACGGTTAAATATCACTCGTTTTTTTTTCCAAGTATCATTATCTACCTTTTTTTTTAGATTTTTTTTTTTTTAATTATTTTTCCTCCCCTCTTATCACTTTTATTTAGTATTATTATTATTATATTTGGTTTTATATATATATATATTTTTTTTGATAATTTTATTTTAAAGTACAGTACACGTGATTTATTCCTGACCATTTACATACAAAATATATCAGAAGTTATATTTTTTTTTTTTTTGTTGAATTTACCTTATTAAATAATTACTAAAATTAATAACAAAGATATTTTGAAGTATTGAGTACATAAATAACTTGGTAAAAAAAAAAAAGAAAATATGTACATACTAATGAAAGGTATTTTCGACGTAAACGATGATATTTAACCTTTCGTTAAAAACGTCACATAAAATAGTACGAACGCGACCTAGTCGTTGATGTCGACCTCAATACTTGGCAAAAATTAGGCCAGGTTCTACGTGAGCCAACGAGGTCGTTAACGTTTAGTTTTAAGATTTTTCAACGATCTTTTATTATTTCCTTTTCTGCTGGTTTTTCTTTTTTCTTCTTCTTCTTTTAAATTCATGAAGATTTTTTTTTTATTTAAATGATATTCCGATTATTATTTTCATTTCATTTCATTTCAAAGTTTATTTATGTTAGTAAAACAAGACAAACTGCAATCTGTTGTAATTCTAAAAGATAATTATTGTTATTATTATTATTATTATTATTTTAACTATTTTTTAAAGAAACATCGTATATATACACACAATGTTGTTTGCTTTTATAAAACAACGTGCAAGTTTAGAGTAATTAGGAAGTTTGCTTACACGTTAATTAACATCCTTTACGATTGGCTGTATCATTTCATTTATAAATTCTTCTTTTCTCTTTAAACATACATATGTTATAGTTAAATTATAAAATTCAGTTAAATAATAAAAAAAAAACTCTAGGTTTTATTCGAAATAATTAGGTGTTTCGTTTAGGAGGAGGGGGGAACAGTATAATATATTATTATATATTATACTAATTTAAATAATCAATATATATATTCTTAATATATATAAATTACGTGTTACGTTGTTTGTTCGCAATGGATTCCTAAACTATTGAATCGATTTTAATCAAATTTTCCACACTGTGTGCAGTTTCATTCAACTTGAAAGATAGGATACTTTATATCTCAATTTATAATTGCAATATTATTTTATTAATCGCGAATTATTTGATAAGATTCTAACAGATGGCTGTATAAGGTATATATATATATATATATATATATATATATATATATATATATATAATAAAAATATTATACTAATTATATATTTATATATTAGTAATAATTTAAATTTAGTATAATATACTAAAAGAATACAATAGAGTTTTAGAAAATAATGTGATTTAAATATATAAATTGAAATACAAATGAGAAAAGAAAGAAAGAATATTAAAGGTAAAAGCACAGGTAAAAGGTATTATATATATGTACTTTCGGGACATCCTGTACACGATGTGGAATGCAGTTTACATTTGAGGATATAGGTACAACAACGAGGGGGGGAGTAACGGAAGGTTAAGCTACGAACTGTTAACGCGAGCCAACCAACCAACCAACCAACCAACCAACCAACCAGCCAGCTGAACAGAGAAAAGATTCACCACTTCTCTTTCTATTTCTTTCTTTCTTTCTCTATTTATTTATATATTTCTTTCTCACTCATCTTTTTTTTTTCTACCCTTTGCCTACTTCTTCTAATGTTGTTTGCATCGTGTGCATCGGAAACTCAGTTCCGGAATAGTTAAACCAAGAGAACGTTCACACTAGCAGGAGATTAGAATCACTCGAGTTCATCTAATAATACTTTACTTTATTATATCTTTTTTTTCTTCTTCTTCTATTTAATTAATTAATTCATTTATTAATTATTTTCATTCATTTCTACATTCATTCATTCATTCATTCATTCATTTTTTTTTCATTCATGCATACATACATTCATTCATACCATTCGTACGTATGTACGTACGTTCCTACGTTCGTTCATTTAATTATTTTTCAACATACAATTATTTTAATTACGTTCTATACTTTTAGCACACACTGTATATTACCTGTGTTTTTATTTTTTTTTTATTTTTTTGTAAATATTTCTCTATAATTTTTATAACTCTTTTTTTATCCAATCATTTTCTTCGTTTCTCTTTTCTTAAACCCCTTTTCACATGTACTGTTACTTATAAGAGAAAAAAAGGGAGAGGAAATAAGAAAGAAAGAGAGAGAAAAAAAATGCATGTTAAGGAGGGTGGAGAGGAGGAAGAGGTTCTTTTCGAAGTTGCCGGCATCGAGTATGCAAAGTGCAACGTGTCCATAGGTTCCATGAACGATATTTCATCGCGGGATGGGAAACACCATGCATTCCAAGATACCCGTTCACACACGAGACGGGGTGAACACCCCTCATCCCATCCCATTCCCCTTCTCCTTCCCTTTCCTCCTTCCCTTCCCTCCTTCCCTCCTTCTCTCCTTCCCTCCTCACAATCCAATCTAACCACGAGAGAGTAGTCGCCCACGCGAACGATCGACTTTATTTATT